CCCTGCGGGGATGGGGTTGCAACTCAAATGGACTAGTAGAAGTAGAATGGGGTTGCCGAAAGCTGAGGGAGCATTGTGCCTGTCCCAGAGGGGGTCTGGGAAGTGTGGCTGAAGCTCAAGGTCAAAGCTCTCTGCACCCAGAATCCAGAAAGTGTAATTTGTTCCCCTGGATTTTGGGTTTGTTGGGTGTCTTGCTATCTCTTTTTCTCTTCCCAATCTTTCCCATTTGTAGTAGAAATGTCTACCTTGCACTTCTTCGACCATTGTACTCTGGAAAGCAGAGGATGTGTTTGTTAGATTTCACAGGTTCACAGAAGAAAGATTTTGCCCCAGAGAATGGACTGTATCTAATATCTCACTCATACTTGATTCAGATGATTCAGAGGATGAGATTTTTGAACTTGGAGTTTACTTAATACTTTTGGGGTGATGTGGGGTTGAATGTATTTTGCATATGCCAAGGACGTGTACTGTATTGTAGTTATGTATTAAAAGACCTAAGCTCGATGTCGGTGGTTATAATTTTATTTGAAAATGAGTTGTCTTTGTTATATGAAAGAGGCAGGGTTAGTATACGGCGGTCTTAAGCTAATCTCTTGAGATTGACTAAGCAAGTTAAAGACAGAGAGATGAGGGGAGATACCTGCCCAGCAATATGAAGACTCCCATGGAAGTAGAGCCTCAGAAAAGACAGGGCCTTGCTTCCAGATTCGACAGAGAGCACCCTTCCTTGCAGAGCTGTCACCCTGACTGCGGTCTTCTCGCTTCTCAAGCTGTAAGGAAAAAATGTGTTTGCTAAAGTCACCCAGTGTTTGCTACTTCTGAGAGCATAGAATTAATAACTACAAACCGCACTGGAAATGCCTGTGTCTTGACCACCAATTTTGAAAACTTGTTATAAAATACTACGTAGTTTGAAAGGAACTGCCCTGTAGTTTCATCCATGTTCTAGAATTATAAATAGAGCCAGATAGAAAGAATTACTGATCCATTTATGAAGTACAGTTTTAAAAATCTAAAAGTTAGGTACTGTTTGTTCTGGTAAAGTAAGCTACTTTCGGCTGGAAGAAAGATGCACCAATGTTGTATGATAAAAGAAAAATGAACTTTTGTGGGGTTTTTTTGTGACATGGTTGAATTGCTTCATATGACTCCTCTATCCATAGACTTTGTAACTCTTCAATTAGGTAGCAGCATGCACATAGGAACTCTTTCGTGGGAGTGGTCAGATTTGCCATTCCACTGGGTATAAAGTAAACCATCTCAGGAGTAAGAACGAAGAATTTCACTACCCCCAAGACAGAAGAGCACGAGTGGACTGAGCCCAAAACTGATGATGGAAGAAGAGCCACCAAAGGCCACAGCACTGAGACCACAGACAGCGGCAGCTTCCTGGCTCACAGAATGAGTACAACTGAGTCCCTACTGGCAGGAGGCTGGCAAGCAGAGTGGGGTACCCTTTGGACGTTTATCAGTGCTACAGGAGCTTTGTAACACTTGCCCAAGCAGAGCAGAGTTCAAGGAGCCAGAAAAGAGGGGAGTGGGAGAGAAGGGGAGGGCACCTGCCAGCACAGCTCAAAAGAGGCACTGTAGATAAAAGAACTGTATCCTTAATATTTCTGATCCTGTCTTGTAACCTGTTAGCTTTTCTAATAAACCTCATAATTAGGAGTATTGTCTGTAGCCACTGCCAGGGATTTGCCAGGGGAGAGTGCCATGGGAGGGGCAGTAGGTAGCAGACGAGGGTAAAATAAGTTGGAGGGTGTAGATGTGTCTGAACTCAGCTTTATTGGAATCATCCTTGGGTGTGTATGGAGTTTGAGTCTCCCTCCCCCTTGTGAAGTCAGAGAAGAGCAGACAGCCTCCATTGCCATGTTTGCAGTTTTAGACAGACTTGAGCTTCACACCCAACTCTACTGCTTTGTAACTGTTTCCCAAGGACAAGTTATTCTCTTCAAGCCTCAATGTCCTTTCATCAGTATGAGAAATAGTACATGCCTTGCAAAATCATCACCAAGTGCAGAGACAATCATGTAGTGTGTGCTCCAGATCCCTGGTCACCGTCACTACTGATATATTTGTTAATGCTATTGGGTATGTGCTGCTTGAGTACCCTACCTGTGTTAGTCTGGGTACATTTGAGGAACAAATCCACAGAAACTAATGTATAAGAAAGAGTTTTATATTAAGGGTAAGTGCACATCAAGAAAACATCCCAACCCAGTGCTGTCCCAGCCCACAAGCCCAACATTAGCCCATATGTCTGACACTAATATACAAAGTCCTCCTCCATCTCACAAAACACACACTGTGACGCCGACTGCAGGAGGAAAGCCGAATCAGTGAATGTGTAAGCATCTCAGCGCTGGCAGGGGTCTCCACTCGGCTGCTCCAGCACCCAGGGCTCCATCGGGGTAGGTCCATGCGGCTTCTCCTCGGGGATGTCTTGCAGGAAGTGAGCCTTGCCAGCTGAAGCAGCTAAGGCAGCTGCACCCTGTTCCAACCATCACAAAGCAAGAGACCCAAGAACTAGAAAGGCGAAGCTCTCAGAGCTCCACCTTTCAATTAACCCCACATGTGTTTATCAGCCAGGTTAGCACAATAAACTTTAACTAACTCACTACCCTTACTCTTTAATTCCAGCTGTGTTGGCATCTGTATTAGACCAGGTTGACTAGAGAAACAAACCCAAGGACACTCATGTATAAGTAGGAGCTTTATACCAAGAAGTAATTGTGTATCAGGAAAACTTCCCAGCCCAACTCAAGTCCTTAAGTCCAATACTAGCCCATAAGTCCCCCTTCAGACTCACTCACACAGCCACATGCAATGATACAGAATGCAGGAACATCACCAGGTGAAGTCTTATGGATCCAATAGTGGGGGATGCCTCTCCAGGGCTTGCACAGGTCTCAGCGTGGCTCATTGGCATGAAGGTGAAGCAGAGAGAGAGGGGCCGGGGAAAGGTTCCCAAGACCCTCCTTATGAGGAGGTCATGTCCACAAGGAGGCACCATCAGGCTGTGACCTGATTGACAGGCTAGACTCCACCCCTGCACTTCAAGTTGACACGAAATTATGTAACTGCCACAGTATGTAAACATTGATCTTTTTGTAGCCAAGACTGCAGGAGATCCCAGTGAGGGCACATGGTCATACAGGTCTACCAGCAGAGGTAGGACTAGAACCCATATCACTGAGGGCTCTGTCTCCTGTGGATCGTTGTGTATACACACGTGCTTGGGTTTTAGTTCGATTGTGTTTGTTGGATGACACTCTCCAAAAAGCATTCAATTTATCTAGAACACTCACACTTTTTTTGTTGTTAACTGTTTGTTTTCTGGATCAATAAAGGGACAGTAAATATGAGTTTCTCTGTTGTTTACTAGATTCAATAGGAATCCCCTGAGGGACTCCAATGGCACTGAAGGTCAAGGGCAGAGCACGTCCCCAGTTGGATGCTGGCACACCATCCATATACCACGGTCAAAGATTGCCTTCCAAAAGCATGTTTCATGCGTGTGTCCCGGTTGTCAGGTCCAGCACAGGCAGCGGCATTTGGTGACCATGGTTTTATTTTCCTGAGTTAAGAACCTGTGCGCCTCAGGGGGGCTGTCAGGACCTGCTGCTCAGGAGGGGCTCTGCCACACCAAGACTTTCTCTGTAAGGTGGGCAGACACATGCAGGGCGACGTCTGCCTGCTTTGTCGTTTCTGTCCAGCATTGGGCTCCATTCCTACTGGAAATGGTGAAGAAATAAAAACAGGAGGTATCTATGCAAGCAGAAGTCATTTCATTGTAGATTCATTTGAAAATTCCTAACCTAGTCAGGGAGGGCTCAGTCTCACCAGCTTACCAGAGCAGTGGTCCCCACCTCTGTGTCTGCGTTAGCTCTGAGAGGAGATTCTCCAGCTTCCGTGGTTACAGATCCATGTATGGTTTCGATTTCCAACAGGGAGGAAGAACCACTGGGTGAGAGCACGAGAACCCAGGACTTCACTTTCTGGGGTGTTACTCTGAAGCCTCATGACAGTAAAATGGCATCAGGTGGATGTCCAGGGGGGTTGTCTTTTCTCTTCAAGCAATATGTATAGTGTGCATCTTATGTTTCAGGCACCAGTACGAATGCACCTTAATCCGTATCCCCTAAGAGGATGCCCTGGGTAGGTAATGCAAACAGCTAAGCCCTTGACTACCGAGCAGAAGGTAGGCTGTTCAAACCCACCAAGAGGCATCCCAGAAGAAAGGCTTACTGGTCTGCTTCCAAGAGATCACAGTCCTGAAATTCCAACAGACATGGGATTGCAGTGAGTCAGAGCTGCTGGGTACCTGGTGCCCTTCAAGATCTCCCGATGTCCCGAGGGGCACACGTTCCAGACAGCTGCACCGTTATACTGCAATGTGCAAGGGTAGCGGGCATAGCCAGGTGGCTAGGGCCTCAGTGGGTGTTTGGAAAGGTGAGTCTGCAGGGTGGTGCAGGGGAGTCAGGAAGGGGAGGGTGGAGGCCGTGCCAGGCGCAGATGCATGGAGGCTCTGCACTGAGGAAAGACCACTGTTCAGAAACGAGGGTAGCTGTGGCTTCTGGCCTGGAACGGGAGTTTCACGCTGCAGGGGGTGGAAAGCGGGATGCCTGTGCAGATTCTGGAAGAGGATGGAGTCTCTTAACCCAAATGTGACTTCTGCCACCATTTGAGCTCATGAGAAGTCACAGATGGCAAGGCACCATTGGGGTACCCTTGGCCATCTCCTGTGGTGTTGTGAAAACTCTCCACTGGCACGAGAACACCTCCCTCCCCCCTTGCTCACCAGGCTGATTCTCTGGGGTCTGTTACTGGCACAATGGGTTACTGGTGAGACACCAAGGTGATTTCTGGTCATGGACGTCTCTCAAGTTGTCTCCTGCTCCTGTGTTCTGCTTTGTTCACCACTCAGGACCCTAGTGGGGAGTGGGGTGCTGTGCTTGCTCCCCGTGCTCACGGCGCCTCTCCCGTTGCTCTCGTAGCTCACGTGGAGAATGAAGAGCAGTACACCCAAGCGCTGGAGAAGTTCGGCGGCAACTGTGTGTGCAGAGACGACCCGGACTTGGGGAGCGCCTTCCTCAAGTTCTCTGTGTTTACCAAGGAGCTGACCGCGCTTTTCAAAAATCTGGTGAGTGGGGGTGGGGGGGCATGTGTGGTGTGTGTAGAGCTGTGGTTAACCTGTGAAATGCCCACCGTTACCATGACTTTGCATGAAAAGGTAGCTCAGTAGAGGATAATTAACAGGTGTTTCATAAACTAGAAATAAATTGTTTCATACCTCACATGGTACCTAAAAGGTTCTTGCACTTTCTATACAGATTGGGCCACTTTGTTGTGAATTGTATTCTCATAGGACTCTGAAAATTAAACCTGGTGTTTTCATGTGCCAGCCGTGAGACAGATGGATAAGTAGCCTTGTCTTCTTCAGAGCCTCTAACTTCCACTTTCAATAGTTTCTGAGCTGTGGAGAAGAGCCCTGGGTTTCTGGTAATTACAGTAAGCATTTCGGCCTATGATATTTAATAAATGTGCTTCAGGCTCATCTCACACAGTAAGGTAACCTATAATCAGAGCACAGAAATTACTGTGAATATTTACAGGGCTTGCATGCTCCCAAATGTGCAGCCTACACAGAGCAAGGCCGACAGAGGTAAGCCTTCCTTTTTATGCAAGCAGAGTGTGGCGCCCGCTGTTCATTGCCTGAGGAAGGTGCTTAGTAACCTTGGGTGAACTGAGGTCTTTCTTGCCCTTGGCCTGCCCAATGCTGTCCTCAGTGTGGGACCAGAATTTGGAAGAAGCAGGCTGCCCCAGGGAGCTGCTTGTGACCCTGCCCGCCCGGGTGATTTCCTCCACGGCAGCCTGTGCACTGGGGATCTTCCTGGCCTCATCTTCCTCTTTCTTTCCCCAGCTTCTAAAGGTCAGAGAAGACAGGAAACCCTAAAGAATGCTTTCTCTGTGGGCACAAACAGCAGTGCTTTTTTTCCTTTTCCATTTCTCCTGCCAGGAAGCTCATACAAATGAACACATACCTCGTGGGTCTTGATGGGGTGATGGTGGTGGGATTGTCAGCCTGGCCTTAGAAGGGCCGGGTAGGAAAGGGCACAATGTATGAGTTAATGACCAGAGGAAGAGGGAGGGGCAGGGTTTTGAAGGCTTGGAGTTGCTCCCTCTATGATTCACCCACACACATTTCAGATGCAAATGGTGCAGACACAGTGGCTGTGCTTGTGTTTGCACTCGATCGATTAGAGGCTGGAGTTTGAGGTGGTGGTGGAAGAGTTCACAAGACATTTCTTATTCCCCAAACCAGAGGACAGCCTGCGTAATGAGTGGTGGACCCCAGGCTTCCTCCTCAACTTCAGTCCCAAAATATCAGCAGACTGTCTATGAAATGCTCGACACCGGGTCAAAGGAGATGGACTTGGTGGTTCCCCCCCATTCCGAGACATGGAGCACACCCTGGACAAAGATACCGATAGATGCTGACATGCATGGCTCCTGCAGTGAGAACAGGCCTGCTTCCTGCCCAGCTGTGCAGCTGCCCCTTCCAGGCACGCCAAGCGGGCGCTCTGGCTTGTTAGTGCCTCGCTTTCAATAGGAATGAACGAGAGAGACTGAAAGAGCAGAACAGACGGGAGGGGCGGGGGAGGGGCACGGCCGAGAAGGCAAAGAATGGAAGAAAACGTTAAAGAAACTGTTGTTTAATTCCAACAAGGATTTGGAAGAGACGTAAGGAGACAAGGAGAGCGGGATAGTTTGTCTTTAGAGACGGGAGTGGGGGAAGGGCAGTGTGGCTTGTAATTCCACCTAAGACAGTGTGGATGGTAATTCTCCCTTAGAAGGGTTGGAGTAAAAAAAAAATCTCTCAGAACACAGGACAAAGGGTGGAG